GAACGTCTTCGATGACGCAATTCATCCTTTTGGTTTGATCATCGGTCTGGAGATGATCCGCTGCCGATATATCTAACTTGGTGCCGAGCACCTTGAAGATAGTCGACCACACTTTTCCCGTGAAACGGGGATCTACATCAGAGACAATCGTCTCTGGGAGTCCGTGTTGATGGAAAACACGATCCACGAACAGCGTTGCTGTACCGACTCCGTCGATGGTGTCTGGCGCTAAATGAGCCATCTTGCTCAACCGGTCGACGAATACCACGACACCCTTGTTGCCTGCCGAATGTTTCGGCAGGCCAAACACAAAGTCCAAACTCATGGACTGCCAGCACCCAGCGGGTATCGGTAAGCTGGCCAGCGTCGCAGCCGCATTTGGAGCAGGTTTCACCCGTTGACACGTCTCACACGTGCGCACATAAGTGCTCGTCCATTTGTACAACTTGGGCCACCAATAGTGGTGATACACCGAACGTACGGTTTCTCACGACCGAGATGACCACTTAGTGGCGTATCGTGAGCCTCATAGAGGATACGGTGTTTCAAATCCTCATTATGAGGAACCACAATTTGTGGTGTATCCGTTGAATCGGTGCTATAATATAGCAGACCGTTATTCAACGAATATCGGTGCAATCGTGCCCGCAATCTTGATGACAATTTCTTGTCCGAGTTCTTAAACTCCTTGCTTCTAGAGCCCGTAGCAACGCTACACACATCTCATCACCCGCATACGCGGTGCGGATCAAATTCGTCAGACGACGTTATAGTTGTAACATGAGCTAGCTCATAGTCTGGTCTGCGTGACAACGCATCAGCCAAAGTATTATGCTTTCCCGGCTCATACTCCACCTCGCAGTTATACTCTGCAAAGAAGGATAGCCATCTAGCCATTCTGTGCGAGAGGTGGGGCAACTGAGTCGCAGTGCGTAGTGACGCATGTTCTGTATAGATCACAAACGGCTTGGAGCCGAGCAGGTGGACCCTGAACTTGACAAGTG